TTCGGCCGCCTCACTTGTCCGTGTCGCACGCGTCCTTCGCGTATGCGCGCGCCGCCCGTCCGTGTCTCCTAGTCCTCGTCGCCTTAGGACTCGAGTGTCCGTATCGCACGCGCGCGCCTGTGCGCGCGCCCAGCCTTCACCGTCCCTCCCTTGCGCGTACGCCCAACTCCCATCGCCTATACCTACCGTGCATAGGCATGCGCCCGCGTTGCCCACACTCGCGCGCTCACTGCGCGCCTCGCTGCCGCTACCCTTGCTTCGCGCGTCCTCACCACCCACGCATTTGTTACGCACGCTCGATCCTGCCGCGCTAATCTCGCGCCTGCCTGCCCACTCGCGCGTGTCCCAGCCACGGCCCTGGCCCGTATCGCCTACGGCGCCCCCACGTATACCCGCGCACCCGTCCATCTTGCGCCCGCGTACTCCCCGCCAAACCTGCGTGCGCATCTTGTTCGCCCATTCGTGCGCATCAAGTGCCGATGCGCACCTTTTGCCCATTCGCTTTTCACTAGACTTGCCGGACTCCAATGCCACTTTCGTATCAGCATTGCCGCGCGCAGCTTATATGCGTGCGCCATTAGGCGCTAAGCGCATGCTTACAAATCCTTAAGTATAAAGATCAACTAAAGCAAGTTCAAATCCACACCCTTAGCATTTCCGTGTGGAATATTCAAAGGGGATGAGGTTGTGTGCAAGTGGTGACTATGAGTCACCTATGTGCTTGTACACACGGCGCACCACGGATGCACGGGCGATGACTAAGCCCGTGCATGGCCGCCACCTCGGCTATGACTAAGCTCAAGTGTCCCACCTCAGCACACGTGTAGAACACTTGGTGTTAAGGGGAGAGTGCATCATCCATCACCTCTTTGACTTCACTTTCACCTTCGGTTTTCACTCCCATAAATTACCGTACGTGCGAGGTGAGTTCTTATGCATTTTCCTCATGCAAAAACCGAGTGTTATTCAGCAAGAAACAAAGAGAAAAACAGCAAGGAAAAATAAGAGAAAAATAGTACAAAAATAGCTAAGTGTTGCCGAAGTAAGGGAAGGACATAAGGACATTAAAGGAAGTACCGAACACGCACGTAAGTCATCGTGCAATCCTCGACCGAACTGAAGGGTATACCCCTTTTTACCTTCCTTTTATATGGTTAAGCTCATAGTAGTAAGATCACGTCGATGTCATGTTGTTCGGTCCAAGTTATTTTAGCAGAATGACCTCGGAGGTGCTATATAAGCCCCTCCGAGTACCTTCAGTTTTTAACCGACAAGTCCCGAACGTTTATTACATAATTGTGTTATTTAAGTCAAAATATGATCAGTCATATGTGGACTGCCGGAGAAAGTAGCCGGACGGCCGGCGAAATGCCGACCGTGATGCCTACCGCACGCGGTGTGCGCAGGCACGTCCGGCAGGCCAGCGAGTACACAGGTAGCGTCCGCGCGCCTAGTACTGCGCACGCGTGCCCCGTACTCGGCAGTCAAGCGTCGCGATGCCACAGTTATGCGTGTAATCGTGCACAGTGCACGTCAACACACTAGGCAACGCATGACCGTGTCCATTCGCGTACACAGCGACGCGACGCACGCCAGCAGCGTGTCCCGCGTCGCACGTATGCACGCCAACAGCGTACCACGCATACTGGCCAGTTACCCCGCACGCCAGCACGCCCAGCAGCGTGCCAGCGATGCACAGCAGGCCTCAGCGTCGCCCGGCAGCACGTCCGAGTGCCCAGTCAGCCCCGCACGCATAGCTAGCGTGCCAGTCGCCTACCCACGGCGCCCAGCAGCGCCCAATAGCCCAAGTACGCGCCAGTACCGTTGCCAGCGTGGACGGTAGTGGCCAGTCGCCCTCAGCAAGTGTCCAGTCGTCACTGGCCGTGCACAACAGCACGCCAGCGACCGCCCCAGCGCACGCACGGTGCC